GTCGCCGGGCGGTCCCAGTGCCCGAAACCTGCGTCGCGGCGCCCTCGGGCAGACTCTCCCTCCTCTTTCTGCCCCTTCCTTGCTGTCGCGGCACCTTCGGCCTCCTTCCCGGGGCTCCCGGCTCCCCACCGACCCTCCGCCAGGCACTCCGTGTCAGGTCCCCCTGTTCATGGTCAAGTTCAGGTGCCAGTGCCCTCTCAGATGACTTAAAATGTGACAAACGCACCGGCTCATCCCTTTTTTCCTTTGCAGGTCTAGAATATGTATACCTACCCCTATATCCTAAAAATGTTGGCTGAAGCAAAAAGGCAGAAGAAAGTCGAGTAAAATAAGCACACTTCCACAGAGCTACTTAGGCGATGGACACCTGAGGGAGGTGGGATTTAAAAGCTTGAATTTCTCTCAAGTTTGTCATTCTGAACACCCACGTTCAGTGGCAGCTGTAGGCACCCAAGCGTCAGAGTCACCTCGGCTTGGACACACACGTCCCACGGATGTGGAGCTCCACACTCGTGTGTTTCACCAGCACCCCCCAGCAGGCTCTTGACAAGGGTGCCATTCTCTGGCCTCACCAAGTAGAACTATGTGCCCTGTGAAAGTAAACTTGCGCTTTTTTTTTGTTTGTTTGGAGGTTTTTTTCAGCACAATATGTCCCCTTTTATAAAAAGTCACACTGTGGAAAACCAGAAAAGTTAATCTCTCTAAAAATACAATGACACTCTTGTCTATAGATCCTTTTGCATGAGGGCTATGCTTTCTATCTGCACTTGAGTACTGTAAGTGTATAGAGAAAAACCCTCAAAACTCAATCTAGAAGGAGGGCACAAAGACATACGTCCACAGGCTAGTATACAAAGGTGAATGATTCACCACTGCTGGCAGAGAGGACATAGACTCCAGTCACCTTTTCAAGGAGGACTTGGGTGTTTTACACTGAGCTGAATACAGGAAAATGCTGCAGAGGGCTTGAACAGTGAGCAACCTGCAAAGTTGTCTATACTTGGACTTTCTTTTTGGTCCGGTCTTAAATGTTTTAGACAGTGGTACTGCTTCAACACTGGACACTAACTATAATCCAGGCTGTTACTAGGATACAATCTGCAGAAGTGGAGGCTGCCAATGTGAAATTCCCGAAGAACAAAAACCTTGATCTGTTTCTCCCTCAAAACCTTAATGGCTATTTTGTTAGAGACAAGTTGTGCAGAGGTAATCACAACTTGCATTTTTAAAGAGAGCAGCAGCTCAATCTTGTTGGTGTTGTGGACTTTTTCTGAAAATACCCATCACATTAGCTCAACTGACTCATGGATTGTAACTAGCCTAACAGGCAAGGGAATAGTTTTCAGTGGCTGGAGAGCTGTAGTTGTGTGCAAGAGCACTATTAGGACTTTCAGGGCAATGAGGAAGGTGCTTCCTGAGTTGGACAGTCACTGACCTGGTGACTCAGCTTCTAAACTAATACAATTTATTTTATATCCTACTTTGATGCCCATGCCCGATATTGGATCCAGTCTTTAAAAGCAGCAAAATGTTGGATATGTCTTTCTCAGAGTTTTTACCAGGGAATTTCGAGAGAGGTCCCCGAATAGCAGGCTGATTTGTCCGTCTAGCTGGGAGGCTACTGACTCTCCACATGCTTTAGCTTCAAATTTAACTGGACTGTGTTACTGTGGCACCACATCTAACTCTCCCTAAGCAAAGGCAGGCATTATGATGGCCACCTTTATGATTTTTTGTAAGAACCTAATTTTTGCAACTGTCTGAAGCACATAACCTCTGACTACAGCTGCTAAATGCAAGTGCACAAGAGACTGGAAAACAAATAGTTCAAAATGTTTTTTTTTTCTGACCTCACCTGCTTCTTAATTGTACTAAATATGAAAGAATACTTTCTGTGCCTTCCAGAGTGCCTGTTGGTAGGTGACAGAGTATGAGTTGATAAAGAGGCCTTGGAAGGACTGTCTTTTCAAGACATTTGTAATTCCTCAGCAGAGCCCACACTGCAGCACTGTCACTCTTCTCATTGAAAAACATGGGCTACAACTGCACTTAGGCTAGGATTAAAGACTGCAACAATGGGCAGCAAGTTAATGAGGATCATATCTGCATGAGCTGACAGTAGTTTGACATTGCTTAATGTTACTATGCTTAATGCAGTTTCATTAGTGTCGTGGTTGGAGCCCAGAGGGCAACCAAGCACCATGCAGCCATTCACTCACCCCTTCCCTTCCAGTGCTGGGAAGGAGAAGAATGAATCAAAAGGCTCAGGAATGGAGGTGAGGACAGAGAGGGGTCACTCACCCATTATGGTCACAGGCAAAAGACAGCTTCATTAGGGGAGAAAAAAGAGGCATCACTTTAATTCAAACAACTACCAACAGACAGAATGGGACAGGAAGAAGAGTTACCCTACCTTAAATACGCCTCCCCCCACCCCTCCCTTCTTCCCGGCTCAGTTTTGTTCCCGGGATCTCTACCTCCTCCTCCCCCAGCAGCGCAGGGGCAGGGGATGGGGGTTGCAAGTCAGTGCGATGCTTCTTCCTGCAAGGGGAGAGCGGGGGAAGCACTCGTCTGCATTCTTCCCCCTGCTCCACATGGCGTCCCTCTCACGGGAGACAGTCCTCCACAGACTTTCTCCACCGTGAGTCCTCCCCACGGGATGCATTCATCTCGAGATGCTCCGGCGTGGGTCACCTCCACGTGTTGCAGTCCTCCCAGTGCTGAAATACAACAGCGGGGGCTGCTTCTTCCCACAGAGTCCCGGGGTCTTCCACAGGTAAATCTGCTCCACTGCAGACCCCCATGGGTGGCAGGGGGAGGAGATCTGCCATCTCACCACAGGACACAGGGGGGGTCTCTGCTCTGTGCACCTCCTCGGCTTCTCCTCCTTCCTTCCATTGACCTTGGTGTTCCCATAGGTGTCCTTCTCATAAAACCTCCTCACAAGTCCCCCAACCTCCTCCCAGATTCCCCTTCTTAATTGCAAAGGTGCAGCCACCATCGCTAATTGGCTTGGCCTTATTAGCCAGAGGTGGGTCCAACTTGGAGCTGGGGGAGCTCCAAGAAGCTTCTCACAGCAGGACACTGCTGTAGCCCCCTCCTCTGCTACCAAAACCCTGCTGCACAAACACAGCACAATGAGTATTGCTCATTATTTTCCCTCCAGCAGTATTTTAGCAACATTGCTTTTGCATCTAAGACTTTTGACTACATCTACTGTGATTTGAATAGCAGGCTATAAAGAAACTTACTCTGCTTGTCATATAACTTTAAAACATAGAGGTTTTTATACAGAAAAGCCTAACCAGCAATCTCTCAGTAATTTGCCATGAATTTAAATCAACTCAGAGGCTAGGTTTGTTGATCTGTTCATTATAGCTAGAAAAACTACTTCTATTCAAAACAATTACATAGAGAAGAAAATAAATAAATCCAACTAATCTGAAGTAACTACCCATGTTCTTAATGTTTGTATTATAAAGAACAGACAACAGCAGAGCAAAGAAATGAAAGTCTATTCATGATCTGTAGGATCTTGCAAAGTAGGTACATCTAGTGTACTGTCTCAATGCAAGTATTTTGTCTTTTTTAGTTTCCTAAAATAAGGTAAAGATGATTGTACCATTTCTCTCCTTTGCACTAAATTTTGAATCTGCTGGCCAATAGCAATCAAAGTTTATGGAGAATAGAGGATGTTTCATGAAAACAGGTGGCTAAATGAAAAAGATAAATTTTAACAGTATCTTGATAGACTTGAATACCTCGAATAAAAGGCTTATTCACACATTAAATGTCAGACAATCTACACTGAAGATCAGAATAGGACAAAAAAGTACTGACTTCCTTTCAAACTCATGCAATTCACTGATGCAAGAACTACTTAGTATTTGAAAGCTGTCCAAATGTGTATTTAAAATATTTCTTAAGTTTGCTTAGTACCAGACAGGATTCTGCAAGAAATGTGAAATACCACTGCACGCATGTGATTGGTGACTAAGTACCAGTGTTATCCAGCTATCTTCATCAGATGATCCTTGGTTTCAGAAAGCAGTTCACCTTTAAGAAAGCCAATACTTTAAAAAGGAAGAAATCCAAGCATTTTTATACAATGAATTCCAAGATCGATTAAGCAATTAAATAATAACGCAGAAACAATCTCATTTGTATATGTCCACATAACTGCTTTTCCGTTCTACTTTTTAAAGCAGTGATATGCAGTCATAACATTTAGGAAGGGGCTGTAAGATCAACTTCCCTTATCATAAGGAAGGGTTCAGAAAAGTTAAATCATTCATCCAAGGAATGAAGGAATGAGCCCATACTGGACCTCCCCAAAGTGACTTTGCTTGTTTCTCAACAATACTTGTGTATCCTGTCAAAACTGGATTAACAAGGGAAGTGTGGGGCAGCAGCTGTGACTTACAAATAGCATGCACTTTCTTGGACTTTAAGTGAGACATACTCATAATGAGACCACAAAGAGTTTAATTTTGACAAGCTAATCATCACTGACTTCTCACTTTCTTGGAAGAATCCTCCTCCATGTGACACTGATTCAGGATACGTGCCTATCAGACATTACAACCAGAAAAACCAACAGGATTAATGTGGCAAGGAGTGCTCTCAGGTCAGAACAAGCTCGCCCTGCAGTTATTCTCCTTCTCTTCCCCAGTGATTCACGAAAACAAAGACAGTTGCTGTGATATATTGAAGTAAGTCTTACATCTGAAGCCAGTCAAGCACCAATGACAGAAGGGAGCAGGATGTTTTACGTGTTTTATTTATTTATTTCCATGAGTACAACTGGCATGATGATTATGGGCAATTGTGCCGTAAACATCTATTTCTCTGAAGTAGACCCTGTCAAAAGTAAACTCTTCTGCTTCCTTCCATTGTTCTCTGAAGGAAATCGTACAGCTCAACCACTCTGTGGCTGGATACCTATGTGACAGTTATGACTGGGCTTGGTACACATAAGCATTTTGATTAATACACTGGCAGTAGAATAAATACTCTGTAACAAAGAATAAGCATCTTCAAAACAAAAGCATATATTTATTAATAAAAAAAAAAGCAAAGCTAACAGTAAAAAATAAAGGCAGTAAAGGTGATTAACCCTTAACTTCTTGACGATCTTTGGCACAAACTATGTAGCCCATTTAAATCCATTAGGCTGTCCTGCTTAGAGCCTGTTGCTTTTCCTTTATAGATCTGGTAACTTTCACTGATACTCACTGTGTAATGCTGAAATAAATTTGCCCCATTTCCTTCACTTTTTAGTGTGGAGTCTTGCAATGGATGAACACTATTGATCTATGTTTAACATTTGGGAGGAAAAAGAAGTAAAATTTAGCTAGGATGGAGTAGTAAGTAGCTATCCTATTATCTCCTAAAACTGTTATGTGGGTCATTATTTTGCTTAGCCTGCTTGCTTCCTTTAACACCACCTTTTGATCCAACACCATAGCCAGCAATCTATTGCAAACACACAGATATTAATTCCTAATCCACAGTGGATAGGATTAGAGTATTTCCTAATTTTCTATGATTTGTAAATAAAACTGCTATTAAAACTGCTCTCTTGTAAAAATGTCTTTCATAGGATCAAAAAGTGGGTTAAAAGGCCCAGGTGGAGACATACAAATACCAAAACAAGCAAGCGGCTTTAGGTGTTTTTCTTTCTTGGAAGAAGAGTATCAATATATGACAGATTAAAACATAAAAGACTGTTGTGACTTCTTCAAAATTAAAGAAAGATGGACTTCAGAACTTGGACAAAAGGTAGTAGATGATCTGTTGATGACAGCAAAACAAGTAAGCAGCAATACATATGTTCCAAGAGCAGTACATAATATGAGCAAGTGGCAAGGGATTATGTTATAGGACAGGCAGAAAACATGAGGTGGTCTTGGACTACATTTTGTGAGCTCATAACACATGGGTAGCATGGAGTTGAGACATGCCTTCCAAGACAATTAAAATCACTGCCTTAAAACCTAATCAGCCAAAGTGTAGACCCTGACATTATAACCCAGCAAGCTATTATAACCCATTTTATCAGTCTGCACATGAAATGTACCACATTTGAAATGTTACATATTGTATGCCTTGTTAATATGCAGATGAGAGAACCAATTACAGAAGTGATTTGAAGGCAGAAGTCAATGTCCTTTCAGAAATCAATCTTACACAGCTATGGAGACTGTTATTAATTTCTTCTGCATTGAGAAGTTCTTGTTTTATGATATATTCACCTGTCTTACTGTAACTATATTATAATATTAGTCAAGTAGTCTTCAAAAATAGATTCAGGGCATTAACTCCAGCTGGAATTTAATTTTTAACTCAACAAATTGTCAGTACAGACTTAGGCTTAATTCATTACTGGATGCTTTTTGAGCATTTGATATTCATTTCACAAGTAGAATAATGCTAGAAGATTTTCCATCCAAAACACAGAATAATCTGTGCTTAAACAAGATTTCCAATACAGAAAGATGCATTTTTTGCCAAGTGTAACATCACAACACTAAAATATACTAAAATTATATTCTCAGTACATACCATGCAAGAGGGAAGGCATGCAAAAAAATCCCTCAGTTTTTCAGTACTTGTAAGGCCCCTTGGATCTACCCATTACAAAAACATACATTAATAATTTTGCTTGCTGTTAGCCTAAGTTAATATTCATCTTAGTGGTGAAACTCTGATTTCATGTAAACAAATTATCCTGAGTTTCAGAATGTCAAACAAGCATGAAAAAGATTCAGGAAATAACCACATAATTTGTTTTCTCTTTTTGAGAAATTATCTCTGCTCATACTTTAATACAGTTTCTCCTAAGAGTAAAACACACAGTTAGCAAGTGACGTGTTTACTTCTGAACCTACTTCTGATAAAAGCTGTTTATTCCAGAATTTGAAGCAGATGGTGAATTTACTGACTAAAGAACAGCAAATAAAAGTGTCTTATTTTTCAAAGTTGACTGTCTATTCCTGACTTCAAATTGAGCTCTGCATCTTTAAATATACTTGAAAATTGTGACCATATTTATACAAATTTATAACTACCAATTAACTTATTTTTGTTAATTATAGTGAATTTGGTCAGTACAGAACATTTTTACTACAGGTGAAAGTTATTTTCAAACTCTAAATAGACAGTGGAAGTTCATTATTTCATTCTAAACAAGAGGAATATGCTACAGCAACAACTGATATCTTTCAAGAGCTACATACAATATGAAAATAATTGCTTTATAAAGTACGGATTTTAAAAGATTAATTATACTTTGATTTTATAAAAGCTCATAATTTCCTCAACATTTTAATGATTCATTTATGTCCAAAACTAGTATTACAATCACATTTCAGATATCAAGCTTTTATACCAACTTTCTATTTTTCTATGAAGAATTTGCTCTTAGATTTTCTGATTTTCTCCAGGTCTTCATAAGTGAGTGGTCCTTTTGGCAATTCTAGCAAAATGCTCTGTGTGTCCAATATGTTCTCTGCTTCACCTTAAAAAAATAAAGAAATGAAGAAATAAAATAAATTTCCTCATCCTTACTGTGAGAAAGCAAAGGAAGTAAAAAAAGAAAAAAAGAAAGAAAAAGAAAAATAAATTGATTTAGCTATTCTTGTTTTGGCCAGAACAACAAAATACCAGGTCATAGCTATGTATTTTAGAAATGAGCTGATGCCACTGTAGCATTAAAGTTGTCTTTAAGGAATTTTGGACCGGTGGGATAACTGCACACAGAGGTGTTTGTTCTGAACTGAATATCTGCTTCAGGCTGCAATTGTTTGAAAGAACTTCAAACAAAACAATCAATTGTGCAGTTGTTGTTGTTTCTGTTAGCCCCTTTCTCCTAAAAACTACACCGAGTTAGAGTAAAGCTTAATTTAGAGATTTATTTATTATACACGTTTTGTAATGGAAGCATGAGATACAGCAAGGACTTAGCATCACCATGTACTTTGTACCAACCCCATACTGTATTTGACCAGTTAGAAGCCTGAGGGTGGATCAGACATATACATAAAGGCGTACATAATCTTTAACAAGCAAATTCCCCATACACAGTATCCTAGATGCACTATATTTGGGCACAATTTTTTTTCTTGTTTCAGGCTTAGGCTAGAAGATATCAGGCTATAGGCACAGGACTTGAAGAAGCATTGGTCAAAGTATACTGCTCACAAAAAGATTTGATAAGACAGTCACCTAAAAAAGCAGCTTAACAGTCTATCAGGGAGAAGTTGCAGGGTGCAGAATGCTCTGGGTAAGGCTGGAATGAAAACATCTAGGATAGAGAATCCAAAAAACAAAGATACAGATTGAACATCATACGTAAGTTGTGGTGGTCTGACTGTGATATAAGAAAGATGAAGATTAGGCAAAGAATGTGTTTGTTTTGGCTGATGCCATTTGGTACAATGCCAACAATCTTGTTTACCTATGCCTTAACTCGTAGCTTGAGGATCATTATGACAGTGATTTGAAGCTGTATTTATGTGCAATAAACCTCACTGAATATGGTAATGCAGTCAAGATCATGGTAATTCTTTAAAACATTCTGAATGCCGAAATCTCTACAGCTGCAGTTTTGGTAGTACTGCAGTGCTTGGGATCTCCACACATCAGTGATATCCAACAAGACAACACTGATTACTGTTCCCTGTAACTGGTAATAAGACAATGTCCATCAGTTGCATATAGCATGTGGTTATGAAATAGCAAGAGATCTTAGGGAACAGAGAGATGTTAAAGTCAAATCTCTATGCATGTCACTCAGATGCACTAGAACAGATTGCCCAGACACCATGCTTCTTACATGGATTAGATACAAGGAGTGAACAACCTAAATCTTGGAAAAGGTAGCCAGAGTTTCATTGCTTAGTGGAGAAGTTCTGTGCAGTTGGAGGCTGGCTATATAATCCCTCGCCTCCTCTAATCATTTGTCTGAAAAACATCAACAATATATACCTGGACTGGGAGAAGCAGAATGGCAAGGCCAAGAACAGAGACAGCAGGTCCATGAAAGATTGTTAGTGTCCTTAGCCATTCAGAGAAGACAGTGTACCTGAGCATTGTTCTGTAACCCTGCCATACCCAAGAGATTCAGTTCTGATACATGGCCCTGGCACAGGTATTCCCCCTTGTGCTGGTTTAGGCCCTGCCAGGACCGGAGACCACGTTGCTGTTGTCCCTCCCCCACCCTCAGACACAAGTAGGGCACAAACCCCGGGTTAAAATAAGAAGAAATTTAATACAACAGTGTAATAAACAATCTGAACAACAACAGTAGCAATGATAACATCGATAAACAGCAATAACAGTAAACAAGACAAAAGATATACAGAGAAATACCGCAGTGGACACAGCCAGACCCCACCTGCTTTCCCAAACAAAGCCACCAAAGATAAAAGTTCCTGCGCTGCCATGCCCGGACCTGATATCAGCATGGTATGAAAAACCCAGCTAAAGAGCCTTTCCCCCTCTCTGCTAGGGAAACTTAACCCTATCCTAGCTGAACCAGGGCACCCCTTATGTCCTCAGTTTTCACTTTAAGTAGCCCAAACTACAAAGCAGGGAAAAAAACCCTGACTTCAATGTGGGAGAATAAGCAAGTCATGAGAAGATATTTGGACAAGTAGGCTAGAGAAAGAAGAAAAGATTAACTGCAAGCAAGATCAGAGCAAAATGCCTGGCAAAAGAGAAATACAGAAACCTTCCAGGGGTATAAACGGATTCCAAAGAATGAATGACAGCAGGACTATTTGATCAAGGTGGTTCAGGTACAAGGAAGATTGTACAGTACAGAAAAAACTGCAGTTTAGCTTAAGAGAGGGATTGTCTGTGAGGCTGAAAATAGGCATACCCTGAAGGAAAGAGACCAGTTAAGGAGGGAACAATAAAGGGAATGGAGTATACATTCATTATTACACCACTCAGATGAAGCATAGAATGCACCAACAGAATACATGGGCAAACAGAGAAGTAGTTGAGAAAATAGTATGAGAGTGGACACACAGATCAGCTGAGTAGTAAGGGCAAGCATTGTGCCTGCAGGTCAATTGCATCATAAAACCTTCTCTTCAACTACTTCACTTTAGTCTTAAACAAAAATGAACTCCTGAACCTGATTTACACAAATTTACGAACCTTCTTCTGATTTCCAACCAAGATTCATTCAGTCTAGTCCACTTCCTTTTATGCTAGTGCTGATATTAGTAATTAGTTTAATTTCCTTCTCTTATTTTCCTTTATCTTATCCTGTAAGTAGAATCTGGAGACCCAAATCTCTCACAGAATCATCGAGGTTGGAAAGGACCTTGAAGATCACCTAGTCCAACCATTAACCTCACACTGACAGTTCTCAACTACACCATGTCCTTAAGCGCCAAGTCGACCCAACTCTGAAACACCTCCGGGGATAGGGACTCCACCACTGCCCTGGGCAGTCCATTTCAACACCCAACAACCCCTTCTGGAAAGAAATGCTCCCTAATATCCAGTCTAAACCTTCCTTGGTGCAACTTGAGGCCATTCCCTCTTGTCCGATTGCTTGTTACTTGTTAAAGAGACTCATCCCCAGCTCTCTGCAACCTCCTTTCAGGGAGCTGTAGAGGGCGATGAGGTCTCCCCTCAGCCTCCTCTTCTCCAGACTAAACACCCCCAGTTCCCTCAGCCGCTCCCCGTACGACCTGTGCTCCAGACCCTGCACCATCTTCGTTGCCCTTCTCTGGACACACTCGAGCCATTCAATGTCCTTTTTGTAGTGAGGGGCCCAAAACTGAACCCAGGAATCGAGAGGCGGCCTCCCCAGTGCCAGTACAGGGGTAAGATCCCTTCCCTGTCCCTGCTGGCCACGCTATTGCTGACACAAGCCAGGATGCCATTGGCCTTCTTGGCCCCCTGGGCACACTGCTGGCTCCTGTTCAGCCGGCTGTCAATCAACACCCCCAGGTCCCTCTCATGTGTTCTTACAAGGCTAAACAAACTAATGACTTTATTTTCTCTTGCAAGGCAGCTCAGCATTCTGTAATAATTTTAACTCTTCAGTAATTCTAGATTCCTTATACAGAAGAGATCCAGATTCTGTGTAAAATCCCAAGGAAGGTATTACTGTTTTCCTGCATCAATACCTTCCTATCTGTACTCTCTATTTGTACTAAGGTTGTGCAATATCCATCCTGGGAGATGTTCAAAAGCCATCTGGACATTTTCCTGGCCAATTGACTCTAGGTGATCCTACTTGAGCAGGGGGGTTAGATCAGACAACCTCTAGAGGTCCTTTCCAGCCTCGACCATACTGTGATACTAGGGAACCTCACTTTCTGTTTTTATACTTTGTTTGACTCTCATTATTTCATCTGGATTATACTCATTCTGTGACCACTTAATACATTCAGGTTTTCTCCTTTTTTTATCATTTCCAGCTGGTGAGCTCTGATGGTAGAAATACCTACTAGCCTCTAGCTTCTTGCTGGCCTTCTTATCAAATTGAATCCTATTTTATTATCTGTTCTTCAAGTCATCAATTCTTCTTGTAGTACAGTTTCTTTCTTTCCTGTTGATGACACCAGACAAGTTTTTATCCGAAGAACTATTAGTACAATCTACTCATAATTTCAAATAAAAACCAAAACCAGATCCAGACTAAATCTTGAGAAATATTGCTAATAACCTGCTAAAACCTATCTTTCCTCTTTAAGCATAAACTTGTGGCATCGTATCTTTACTCCAATGATTACCTCTCTACTAATTTCCACGTCCTTCATGGAAACTGAATCTTCATGTGATACCACACTTTCATGTGTTTATAGTAGATCTACCATATTTCTTTTGGAAAAGAGAAATAATTTTCCTGGAAAAGACAGAGTTAGTTTGGCATATTTTATTTTATTGTCTATTTGTCTACAGAGCTGCTTTTCTCCAAAACCTTTTCCAAAACCTTGTATACTGCTGAAGTTGCCCTAGTGAATCTGGAGTTATGAAGATAACTTCTCCTACTTGGAAAGCAATAGGATACCACATTGCCCCTCTTCAACCTATACAGGACAACATGGTCCTCAGAAAACACATTACATACTCTTGCTATGGGGTTTGTTTTATGATCTACTTGCACTTTAAAAATTCTGGAATGAAAATGACCTCCTTAAAAAAAAATAAAATTAACAAATCCTAGATTCCAAGTGTTCCTTTTACGTTGTATGTAGTAATCTCCTTTTCAACACTCTGATTTCCAAGAGCCATCCAGTTTCTCTCCCTGTGCTTAGCTGCTTCTTCATATTGAAATCCAAAGCAATGTATTTAGTGGGGTTTAGGAGATGTTCACAGATATACATTGCTAGACCACCTAGATATATGTGCCCCTGTATGCAGCAGGAAATATCTCACTGTTTGTATATTTTTGCAATTTTTAAGTACACAGAGTTATTTTCATTATTTTCAATTAAGTACACAGAGTTAGAAAACCTAGCTCTGAGATCCAGAGGCTAAGATCAGGAGCTGAAACAAATTTTTATTTTGTTTCTCTATGCTTGTGTCAGTAGCAGACAGCAAAATCAAGATAGTTAATTAAGATGATCTGTGAAGATGACAGGCCATGGACCAATGCTGTCCTCATTTACAGTGAACACTCTTAGCCTGTTCCTTCACTACTAATCAGAGCTAACATAAATAAACCTCTGTAGTCCTCAACACTCATCACTTAATCAGATCTGCCACTGGCAACTATGAGGCAAGACCCCACTTTCTGGGACTCTCATTTTTCCATCTTAGCATGGCACTGTGGCAAGAGGATCAGCTGATAACTGTGATAGGTCATGAAGGTGTAAGGGCACGTTTCCTGTCTGTGTCCCTTTATTTGCTCTTATCCCCTAGGCTTTGCCAAAACAGCAGTATTGGAGTGGAATATGGAAGGGAATCACTAGATCTGTCATTTCTCCCAAATATGCAATGCTTTCTTCAGCTGTATTTATAGCCTTAAAATTCACTTTTTTTTTTTTTGAAACAAGAGACTAGAAATTAACAAACAGTCTTAACTGGAGGAAAAGGCTGTAAAAGCAGAATGAGTACTCTTGACTGAGAAAGTATCTGCTTGTAAGAGAAGAAAAGAAATGAAGGAGTAAGATCTTTGACAAAAAAAGGGAGAAAATCTATCACAAGTTTTCTCCCAGACATTCTAAAAAGGTAATAGGTTATCTGAAATATTAAGCTTGGTTCTATGTGTGAATTGGACAGACTTATATACAAATACCTTTTATCCTTTGCATCAGTGTCCCATAGCCCATATCATATTGATAGGCAAATATAAAGCTTAAGGGAACTATTGGCAGTAAAACTCCTGGATTCTTCTTTTTTATTGCTCTGTTTGGGAAAAAAAAAAAAAAAGAAGGATTGAAAAAATATTATTTAGTACATTCAGCACATCAGCACTTTTAGATTAGGTTGACCTTGACAGTCTTGTGTGTCCCTCTACAATCTCTAATCAAAGAACAAGTCCTAATTTCCTCAAAAACTTTCATCTTCTGGTTGCTTTCTTACTCAAATATTAACCCAAGGGTATTAAAAAAATGCTTCAAGTTAGTTTTGAATATATCTAACAAAAATGGCATTATCTAACTCATGTAGCACGCATGTGTACATACATATATTCATCTAGCCACACGCAACATGTAGCAATCAAGATATTCAGTTCCAAATGCATCTGAGTCTACAGAGAACACATAATGCATAAAGTGTATTTAATCTGTACTATGTACACACAATCACAAATATATCCTACATTCCCTCTAAACATGTTATAGCACGAGAAAAAACTGTCACCAAACAAAAGTCCTATAAGGCAAGTTCTTCCCCATGAAATACAGCTTTATTAGCCACGTTTTTTTTCCCCTTTGGTGAGTTTCTTGATTCAAATTTTAGGTAAACAGATTTCAGAATATGTTCACTGACATATTAAAAATACCAGATGATGAAGGATTTCTTGCTCATTAACAGTTCATTAAGTCACAATACAGAAAATAGCATGGCTTTTAAATAATCCCCCATGTTCCACAACTTTTATTTTACACTGAACTTCTGGTACCTCAGCTATATTATTTTATTGTCAGTTGACATGTGTCTGCTTTCATATGTCTGCAGTACAGACATAACCACATCTGGAAAGACAGACATCAGAGTCACTCTGTCATTTGATCAACCTCTGAGCAGTTACTGGATTAAAATAACAACCTTTTATAATGCAAAAGGAAGATCTAACAATATAGAAATATAAATGTAACATAATTATATTTTTTGTGTAGGAAATAAACTTCATACCCAGCTGTTAAACCTACAGCAGCAAGTCCAAAAAATGCCCCAAAGTATTTGAGAAATTCTCGTGTCCAAGCAATCTGCATGGCTGTTTGTCTCTCTCTCATCTGGTTCTGCATGAGTAGTTGCCTTTCCAGCTAAAGAAGGGAGAGAGGTTTAACAAAATTAAGTAATCCATTTATTTTAAAGACTGAGTCAATCTCTCATTGTTCCATAAATGCAAAACATTGAGGTTTCTTTTTTGTTGTTTTATTTCAGTCATTGATAGTTTTTGATTGAGAATGGTCTTCTTCAGTAATAACTCAGAATAGTTTATACCAAGAAATTATTAGGTCAATTAGCAAATGCTTTAATGCAGTATCTTTCTAATGCTGCTTCTCAAGGTCAAGAAAATCAAAATACCAGTGTTAGGTTTTAAAAGTTCTCCAAGTCTCAGTAGCATTTCCTGGGTTCTCTGACCTTTGCATTTCCGTGGTTATCCAAAGGGTACCATCTAGCTGCTTTCCAATTTATTATGCTTGATTTTAATTTAGCAAATATATAGTATCTTTAGAGTCAGTCTTGACACTGCTTTTCCCTTTGAGGATTTCTCCGAGATGCAGCATCATAAAGCTAATAACTTTTGAAACACCATAGTTTGGAAATACAGAAAAAACACTGTGAAGATATCAGATCTTTTAAAGATACTGGGATACATACCAAAGGTCCATGAGAAAGTATTTCTGTAACTAAAATTAAAAAACAGCAATGCAAAAAGTACAATCTAGACTGTATATTCACATGTCAAAGCAGAACTTTCTATAGTGTGTAAGAATAAAAAAGCAGAGTATTAGATTTTTTTCCTTTTAACTTACGTGCCCCATTTAAACATACTGGTACATTTCCATTAAATAAAGGTAAATTTGGTATTTCTTAAAAATTCCTCTCTACTGTACAGAACACCAAAAAGACAATGGTCTTTCCTCATTAGAGTGATGCAAAAAGTAAGAACTGTCCCCAAAATAAGCAGTCTGAAACCAGAGTACAGGTGTTAATTAACAGAATAAGAAGACTGCTTCTTCTCATTAATGTTTGTAATTTTTCAGAGTACCTGAGCTGGTATGTCTAGCCTAACTAAGTTGCATAAAAAGTCCTACAAGGTACAGAAAACAGAATACCAGCTGCCTAAAAAAGTATATTCTAGAACAGAAAGAACAAAGACCTAATTCAGAAAGTTCCCTTATCATGCATCTATAAAAGTAATTAAATCTGTTCTTTTCTCCTGCTTTCTAATTCAAGAATAATTTAAAGGATTTGTAATTACTTAAAGTTTCCACCCATTTATTTATCTCCATTACTATTGATTTAGCCTGAACAGAACAATTTCTGTTAAATTGTTACTAATTATTTCTTCAGACTATGTTGATCTTGCTATCTTATTTACAAGCTCATTCAGTACCTGGATAGGTAGAATTAATTTTTTAGACTGCATAATGAAAAAAGGACAGATCTAATTACATATAATTGTACACAGTAGGAAAAACAACATTCACTGTAGTCTCACAATGCTGTTTCATCTGTTTCTTACCTCAAGACTTATATTGCAATTGTCCTCAGAAAAAAATATCAACAGGCTCTACCTTCCTGATATCCATAATTTTCAGAAGTAGTAATTATATAATGGCTGACAAACCACTTAATAAAATATCAGAATAATTAGATTTTATTTTGTCACCTATGAGACACCTGGAAATTCTAAAGTAAACTAGCACACTGCCCGTTAATTAGCCCCATTGTGGTCTCCAATATCCTAAGCCTGGTAAATTGCTGAGGGTTGACGTGACAAGATAAAATAATGACATGTAATATCAATTTAATGACCTCTATTTTCCCCTTCTATTTGATTATATGTGTAGTTTGCATACGTGTGAAAAGTATTAAGGGATCCTTTGTTTGCCTGTCAGCACAGATAAGGAGCCTACGCTTCCAAGATACACAGCATTACCCTAAATGAGCTTCAATTTGAAGTATATGGGGAAGAAGTGGGACAAGGATATGCTGATGAAATATAGGTCTTACCAAAAGGAAAATTAATGGGAAAAGAAGAAAAACAGACAGTTTAATATGCACCAAGCATAGAAAGAATGAAGCATGGAATAAAAAGAAAGCTGTAAATTTTAATCTGCAAGAGTAAACTAAAGGAGCCTAACATGATTTCTTTAAAAACAAACAAACAAACACCAAGAAAAACCCTCACACAAGTTATACTTTGATAGCTTTTTAAAACCCAAGTACTGAAAGAGAACGATATTCCTGAGTCACAGACACTAAGGTCAAACACCTTTCTGTAGGAGCCTGTCGTATCAAATTTCAGAAGCCCAAGGATACTTTTATGTATATCTACAAGTAATTTATATAAATAACTTAGTATAAATGAAAACAACTTGTTTTCTATATTATAAACAGCAGCCAGATAACACAATCAAACATTTTTTCATATCAGTTTCTAACCTGAAGGACCTATTTTTTTTTTTTTTTTTTTTTCAGTATTGCTGCAGAGTTTG